GGCGACGAGGGCCTCCCAGGAGGCCCACAAGGGAGAAAACGGGCGAAGGGTAGCGGTATGGGCACCTTTTCTTCCTCTGACTCTCGGCCTCCAGCTCCCCCCGTTGAGCCGCCTTGTGGTTCTCGGGACCATCTTTGGGCCATGCGGGGCAATGTCGAGGCTATCCTGAGGCCTCTGGGGCCCATCTTGAGGCGAAGTGGGGAACATATTTCGGGATTTGCGCCCTGACGCCAAGTAGCACTTTGCTGAGCTTGCTTCGCCATCCTCTCATCAGCCTTCTTCGCACTCCGCAACACATGGCGCGCTGAACGCGCTATTGTTCCTCCCTGCCTACTTCTCTTCCCTCCGTTCCTCCTTTCCCTGTTCTGCCCCTCCCGGCAAGCTCCTGCCTCACTGTCACAGGCGCCGTGCCCGGCGGCCGAGTCCCCACCATCAGCAGGCGCAACGTCATCCTCATGTTCGGACCTTTACGCCAGGATTGCGGGTGAAGGGCCCTTGCCAAGCATGCCCACTGAGCTTGCGGTCCGTTGTTTCGGCTTGACCGGTTCATATATCTATATATATATATGTATATATGGACATCTCTCTCTCTCTCTCTAGGCACGAGTCTCTGCATCCAGGTGCGTATGCTCAGTGTTCGCATCCTCATTACCGCCACGTAACATTATCATCCATACCGTCAGCATAACCACCATCACCACCACCATCATCATCCTCTTCTCCATCCCCATCATCACCGCCACCACCACCATCATCATCATGATCATCATCAGCATCATACTCATAATTATCATAATCATCATAATCACCATCACCATCACCATCACCATCACCATCATCATCACCATCAACATCATCAGCATCATCATCGGCATCATCATCAGCATCACCATCAGCATCAGTATCATAATTCATATCATCATCACCATCATACTCACTTCCTCACCACCGACATCATCACCATCATCATCATCATCACCACCATCATCATCATCGTCATCATCAGCATCATCATCATCAGCATCAGCATCAGCATCAGCATCTGCATCATCACCATCATCACCATCATATCATCATCATCATCGTCGTCGTCGTCATCACCATCAGCATCATCAGCATCATCATCATCATCACCATCATCATCATCGTCATCATCATCATCATGATGATCATCATCATCATCATCATCACCATCACCATCACCATCACCATCATCATCATCATCATCATCATCATCATCATCATCATCATCATCATCATCATCATCATCATCATCATCATCATCATCATCATCATCATTCTCATCGTCAACACTACGGCCCCCTGCTGAACACGCCTAATGAGCCTACGGTCCGTCGGGTCGGCTTGGCCGATCGGGCATCAGAGGCAGGAGTCTACACACCTAGCAAGCACAACACCATCTCCACATGATTCCAAGCTCCCAGCAGGCTGCGGGGCTTGCTTCCTTCGATTATATTGGAAGTCTCAAGACGGTGCGGTGACTACACCACTTGGTGAGTCCGTGGGCATTCGGGCTGCGGCACGGTTTTTTGGATTTTTGGGACGTTCTCCCAGGATGCCTTTGGTGACTGGGGCCTCCAGGGTTCCAAAACCTTGCGGCGTCGGAGCGTGCGGTGAGGTCTTTCTTGGAATTTCGAGGTAGTCGCACGGTCTGTCACCGCCAGGTTTGGGGGCCCCCAGGCTTCCCTTTCTCTGGCTTCGCTGCTCTGGCAGTCTGTGCCGGGCCTCGTCCGCCCCGACAGAGGCGGCCCCTGGCGCCGGCGAGGCGCCAGGAAGACCAGGTGCACGCGGCTGATTCGCTACCGCCCCCCTCTGCTTTTGCCCCCGCTCGCCCGCCCCGGCGAGGCGCCAGAACAACTGGCCGCATGCAGCTGATCGGGCAGCCCCCCCTTTGCACTTCCGCCGCGCGTCCGCCCCATCGGGCAGGCCCAGGCCCTCCCAGGGTGTCACGCAGAATGTGTCTATCAGGAGGCTTCGGCCCCAGGGCGTTGACGCATCGGTTCCGTGACGCGCCGCTTCCGTGAAGCACCGTCCCCGTCACACTTCGACTCTGCGTGGCAGAGGGCCGTCTTGGTTCCCCTGGACTGCGGATTTCCATGCCAGGACTGCGAATCAAGGGGCCCCTGCCCAGCATGCCCAAGTGGCCTGCGGTCCGTTGTCCCGTTCTGACCGACCGGATGGGCACGAGCCCCGGCATCCAGGTGCGTGTGCTGCATTAGGGGAACAAAAAAGTGGCATAAACATACAAACTCGGAGGTCCGCGCGGATTTCTCGGATCGGCGCTGGGGCCCCCCGGCGGCGCCTCCGGCGCCGCCCCTGGCGCGCTCCGCGCGCCAGGGAGAGGGGTCCAGCGCCGATCCGAGAAATCCGCGCCGACCTCCGAATTTGTATGTTTATCTCACTTGTTGTTCCCCTATGCATGCCACCGTATGCCAGTTCCTGACAGGTCTCACCAGGCAGTCGTCTGCTTCCCTCGCTCCGCCTTCGCTGGCCTCACGGCTGCAGCGCGCCGCGGCAGGCGCGGTCCGCCCCTGCAGGGGCGCATGGCCCGGGGGTGCCAGCAGAAGCCAGCCGCAGGTGTTTCGTCCATCCCAGCAGGGGCACTTCTAGCACCGAGAGGCACACCAGAAAAGAGCCAGCTGCACGCAGGTGCTCCGTTACTGTGCCTTCTTCTCGCACGCCCCAGAAAAGCCAAAGCCAGCTGCATGAAGCTGATTCGCGTATACCCCTTTGTTTAGGTCGGTTTCAAGGTCTCTGCTGATCGGGAAGTCTATCCGCAGGTCAGCCAGAAATCCAGAGTTCACTTTTGTGTTTGGATATACACATGTTCGATTGTTGAGTCGTAATTCTGATGTTCTATTCTTCACGCTTCGCGTGCCCCCACCAGCAATTAGGTTTGCCCGTCGGCCCGGACACCCTGTTCGCCGCCTGCGCTCTTCCCTGGTGGCCGCGACCAAAAATTATTCACTGCGTGGAGCTCCCCATATGTGCATCTACTCGCATGGACCTGTCCGCCGTGAATGTCTAGGCGCAAGAGCTTTCGAATATTAACGGGCTTCAGTTGTGACGGTCTGGACATCAATCTAACTGCGAATGAATTGGAGTGTGAATGAGCCTCAGTAGTACGAGCGCGTCTCTGTGCATGAGCCTGGGGCCTCCTGGGGCCTCCTGAAACCTACTGGGGCTTCCTGGGGTCTCCAGGAGCCTCTTGGGACCTCCTGGGACCTCCTAGGAAGGTTTCGTGCCCCAGGAGAGGCGCAATCTATAGCAACAGACGTACATAAAACATTGCGGATTAGAGCCACAGGAGAAGGGCAATCTATAGGAACACGCGTAAAACACCAAGGACTCGTGCCCCAGGAGAGGCCCAATACATAGGAACATGAGTAAAACATTTAGGATTGTGTACACAGGAGAAGGACCATCTATAGAAACATATACGTAGAACATCAAAGAATCGTGCTCCAGGTGAGGCCCAATCGATAGGAGCATACGTAAAACACATGGGATTGGAGCCACTCCTGTTGCCTTCTGAGGCCTCCTGCTCCTGGGGCCTCTCGGGGCCTCCTGTTGCCTTCCGAGGCCTCCTGGCGCTTCCTGTTGTCTCCTGGGGCCCTGTGGTTTCCTGAGGCCTTCTGGAGCTTCCTGGGGCCTCCTGGAGCCTCTTGGGACATCCTGTGGCCTCTTGAGTCTTTCTGTGGCCTCCTGATGCCTCCTGGGACCTCATGTGGTCTCCTGGGGCCTCCTGGAGCCTGTTGGAGCCTCCTGTGGCATCCTGAGAAGAATCTGCGCCCACGAGCCTGGCCACCAAAACAAGCAAACCGATCGAGACATCCTCAAAATCTGGCCCACCTGGGGGGTGAAAATGAGCGCCTCGCTCGAGACATCCTCCAAATCTGCTCCGAAAGCGAAGGATGTTGGGCACAGAAACAAGCAAACCGCCTGAGACATCCCCACAAAATGGCCGCGAACGAGCCCGTGCAACCACCCCTGGCGGCTCCCCTTAGGGGTGCTGAAATGAGCGCCTCGCTCGAGACATCCTCCAAATCTGCTACGAAAGCGAAGGATGTTGGGCACAGAAACAAGCAAACCGCCTGAGACATCCCCACAAAATGGCCGCGAACGAGCCCGTGCAACCACCCCTGGCGGCTCCCCTTAGGGGTGCTGAAATGAGCGCCTCGCTCGAGACATCCTCCAAATCTGCTCCGAAAGCGAAGGATGTTGGGCCCAGAAACAAGCAAACCGCCTGAGACATCCCCACAAAATGGCCGCGAACGAGCCCGTGCAACCACCCCTGGCGGCTCCCCTTAGGGGTGCTGAGTATGAGTAAGTCTGTGTATGAGTAAGTCTGTGTATGTGTACGTCTGGGTATGACTAATACTGCGTATGAGTAAGTCTGTGTATGAGTAAGTCTGTATATGAGTATGTCTGAGTGTGAGGAAGTCTGAGTATGAGTAGGTCTGAGTATGAGTAAGTCTGAGTGTGAGTAAGTCTGTGTATGAGCAAGTCTGAGTATGTCCGACAGGAGGGGAGGAGAAAAGAGGAGGAGGAAGGAGGAGGAGTAGGAGGCGTCCAAGTAATAACAAGAACCCCATCTTAGGATATGGGGGAAAACGTGTCCCCACCAGCCCCCCTCCGGGCGGGCCTCCGACACTGCTAGAGCCCCTGCGGCACCTCGTGCAGCCCCGCGCTGCCGTGCACACCGGTGCTTGGCTCTCATCGGCCACCCGGCTTGAGGGCCCGTACCCAGCAGATCCCCGCCAGACGGCTTCTCCTTCTCTACGGTCCCTGCCCGCGGCAGGTCCCTTCCCTGGCACATCACCCTGACCGCAGCTGTTAGCTGCCTCACCCCTCGCCCCTTCCCCCCGCCCCCCTGCCCCCCCCGTCCTCGGTTCGCGCTGCCGCTGCTGCCCCCAGGGCTCCTCACGCACGCGGCGGCTGGTCAGCGACCCCTCCTTCCCCGCCCTCTGTCCGCCCCC